ATCGGTGGCGACTCCCAACCCAATTATTTTAAGTCGAAGCCCAATTCGTGGCCCAACCGAAAAACGGTTACGACATTTACATTTCAATATATCATACCAACATATTTCACATAGAACCTATAACATATACAATAAATGAAACTCATACATTCATATCCAAATGTTCAATCACATATAACAATCATATTAAGTTTATATATATTATTTCTTTATTTTCCCATGTACAACTTGGAGAACTAAAGATATGTGAGTTCATTGAGGTTGTGCACTGATGCTGTCACCACAGCTTGAATAAATTCCCACTAGGGGCACTGTATATTTGTCTCGAAGAACCACTATGTCCCGAATGACTACTCCTTAAGAACCATATACATAATACAATGGACCAAATAAGTGTACCGAAGTACCACATATATGTTCCACAGAATTATATATATGTCCCGAAGGACCGCGTAGAACCCTCGACTCTTGGCATGCCAACTATACCTCTAGCTCTCATGACACGTAACATTGGCATCATTATTATGTTTACCATATATTCACATAGCCATATCACATAAACATATATTCTTATAGTTTCTTATCATATCACTCATATCATATGGTTTATCTCTTGTAATCTTGCAATCATATCACGTATACTCTCATAGATCATATCCACATGGCTTATCTCATATCATATGTTCACATACTTTATGGTCACACTGTTTATACCATTTTCACACATAGTCACCTAGGTCCACATTATATAGCTTACTTTACCTTTCATATATCCATTCAATTTATTATCACATAATTGATATCTTAATCACATAACAATAGTATACATTCATACATATCATACCACATATACAATAATATATCACAAATATGCTTATATCAATAACATGTTTATATGTATGATAATATAGGAAATAGACTTGTCACAAGTCTTATTTTCATTCATCGTAATATACTAACTAATACGCACTCACCTGGCCTCACTAGTCAATATCAATCTCTTATTTTTTTCTTGATGACTATTTCTTGTTGACTTGTCCGGATGTTACTCTTGATATATATCTACACAATCATATATTGATACATATCAGTATTCTAAATAACCTACTCTAATCTTTCATTCCTTAAACTAAAAGAAAGGCAATTTCATTTCTTATATAAGGTAGGTATCGATACACTCTATGGGGTATCGATACATTCCTTAACGTGTGTATCGACACAATATGTATGTATTGGTACACAAATTACATTCGATGTTTTCATTTTAAGGGGTGTATCAATACACTTCATGTGTATCAGTACACTCTGAATATTTTCTGGAAATTTACCCTTGAAGTATCGGTACATGTTGAATGTGTACCGATACACACCAGGCCATAATTGCATTTTGAGCATGAAAATCACTTCATTTTCAGTTCAACCCTTCATATTTCATTACTTTACTTATTCCTAACTCACCTACTCATATTCAAACTCATTTATATTCATTAATCACCTCTTTAACCTCAAAATCTTATCCTCCATATGTAATTCAATAATTAAACCAACTTTGCAACATGTTCAAATTCCGATTCTAACACTTCATACGTCTTAATTAGATGGATTACAAGTCAAGTTTAACTTCCAATTCTAGTTATGAACTCTATTCCAAGATTTCACTTATAACCATGTCATCTTTAATCCTTTCTAGCTTAATTATCTTAGAGTTTTAAGCTACCTTAAGCTTTACTTAAGCTTTCTTACTATCCCAAGAATAAAATCCAACTTTAAATCGAAAGAAAATCTTAACTAGAGACCAACTTACCTTATGCAAGAACCCACGGTGGTGGAGAGGAAGAAGAAACTGTAGAAGACTCTGGAGAATTTCTCTCCTTTCCACGTGCTATATAGCCTCTAAAAGAAAGATAAAAATCTTTCTTGTCAAATGACCATTTTACCCTTATTTCTTTCAATCTTTACTAAACCATCCTTTATAGAATATTTTCAATTAAGTCCCTAAACTTTTAACTTATTTTAAAATTAAGCACAAAATGTACAAAATTTGCATTTTAGTCACCAGCCTTGATTTGGGATGTTACAACCTTGGGTAGGCTCTTAGGCCTTAAGGTACTCCCTTGGGTAGGCTCTCAGAAGATATTCCCTTAGGTTGGCTCTTATGCCCAATGGGTCTAGGGTTAGTCCTTATGGATGCAGTTTTGGGGAACTTCATATCAGTGTTCGGTTTGAGGGTATTAATATGGTTTTAAAATATGTTCTAAACTACTATTGTTTTTAAAAGATCTGTATGCATTTCTCTATTTTGTTGGATCACACTAGACTCTCTAATTCAATCTTCTGAATCTGTCTCTCTCTGAATACTTCCTTCAGAATGTAATTATTGTTTGTAATTGAAGACTTAGTTAATGGAATATGAATTCACCATTAGAATCTGATGATGTATTTCCCGCTAAGGAATTTATGCTTTACGTTATACCCGATGGCCTATTGTATTCATCTGGCAGTTCTGTATTACTGAGCTTCCCAAAGCTCACTCTTTACTCACCATTTCAGGTTAAAAGAATTGATCCAGTGCAGCTATCAACTTCAGTATTGGAGTTCCTTCGGCATTGCTTGCAGAGTACAGTACAATGTGTAATTAGGGGGCATGTAGGTCACATTTGGTTTTTTATATATTGAGTCTGGAACTTGCATAATTTTAGTTTTGTCTGTAATATACAAATGGTTTTTGAACTTATTTTATTTATAAATTGCTTTATGATTTTACACATTTTAACAAAAAAATTAATTTTTCCTGATTTTTACTGTAGGGCGCTCCGATGGCCCTAATGTAACATCTCATATCGGTTTGGGTCACCTTTGACCGTTTGGCAATTTGGAAAAATGGTAGGGATGATGTAAGGTGGGGAATTTTCTTATTTTTTTAAGTACTCCCTCCATCCTAAAAAAGATATTTATTATTGACTTTTTAGTTATTTTTAAAAAAAAAACTTTGACTAATTATTATTTAAAATTTTCTATTGATAAAAATGTAAAAATGTATTTTAAAAACATTCAATCAAGTAATTTTCAAATATATATTTTATAAAATTTAATTATTTAAAAAAATTTAAAAAAATCAAGGTCAAAGTTTAAAAGGTTTGGCTTTATAAAAGTTAATAAGGGACATCTTTTATGGGACAGAGGTAGTATATTTTATATAAAAAATAATCTCAAAATTATATAAATGTGAAATGTATCACTTAATAGAATTTTTAATTGTTGTTATAATCGAGACATTTAAAATGATAACATTCGTAACGTTACACGCTTACATTAACCGAAAATTAGACACCTACATAGAATAAGAGGCATAGTTTGAAATTTTTTCTTATATCAAGCCTTGTTTATATTATTTAGATTATATAATAAATAGATCCACTTATTATTATAAAATTAAATGAGTTTTACACATTACCATAAATTTTTGTAAGATTGATATTTTTAAATCAATTCGATGTCTTTATCATGACTATCAAAAGTTAGTTGCGTCTATGATAAGAAAAATTCTATAACGTTCGACGAGCACCGCTGAGCACCATTAATTTAATTTATAAAAATCTAAAATTCTAAAGGACTAAACGTAAAATTATAGATTATCAATAAAAAATTATGAAAAAAATAATGTAATTAATATTTTATTTTAAATAATTTAAATTTAATTTTTAACTAATTTATAATTATACGTTGAGTCCTTTAAAATTTTAAAATTTTATAAATTAAATTAATGGTGCTCAGCGATACTCATCATTAGTAGTGTCTAGCGGTGCTCATCCCTCTATTAATATGTATTTAATAATTGAAAAGTTTTTATTTATTATGAATTTTTTTCCGAATATATATGAAAATCAGTTAGTTTTACGCTAATTTACTTGGATCCCTTCCTTCCTCCCCTTTTATATATTATATTGGTATAATATCAAAATTAGTCCTTAACATTTATTTAAATGATCATTTTGACCCATATTCTTTTTTATAGCATTTTAACCCATAATATTTTGTTTTGGAGGCAAAAGAACTCTCTATGGATGAAAATTGTTAGTTAATACACTATTAATGCTCTAAGATATGGGTCATTTACCCTAAAATGAAACGTTAAAGGCCAAAATGCTCGAGAGAGAAAAAAGAATAAGGGTCAAAGTGACAACTTTATCAAATGTTAGGAGTCTTCTTCCCTAAAAGAATATGGATCAAAATAATCATTTTAATAAATGTTGGGAGTTAACATTACACATAATTTAAATCATATCAATCGAATCATCTAATCCAAATTTATTCTACCCATTGAAAATGAACTTGGTTAACCAACTAAATGATGAGACCGATCGAAATTATGTAAATCTAATTAAGTCAGCTGTTGAGAAAACACAATTGATCTGTTGGACAAGCTGTTCATATTGGTTTCCTCATATTCCCTTATATTTTTTTGTTCTAGACTCAATAGGAACACCCATTCTTTTCCATAGAACTCTCCTATCTTCTGCTCTAAGTAGAATTAAGATTAGATTTAGAATTTATCAAAAAAAAATTAAGTCATATTTTACAATTCAAACCAGTCGATTCGGGTATAGTAAGTTAAGGTCGGTTTAGTGGGTTTGATTTTTTTTTTTAAAATCGACCGTCTAAACCTATTTTCAGAAAGAAGAAGAAGAGGTGAAGGTACCAATTGAGAGAATGTTGTAAGTACAGGGTCCAAATGAGTAGTAAAGCCTTAATGACAAATAAATAGTGAGAGAGAAGCAGAAAAGGCGGGTTATGTTTGGATTAAAAGAAAATAGAGAGAGGGGGGGGGGGGGCATGAAAGTTGTAATAACAGAATTCTCCGTTTTGCGCCCTTTCCTCAAAGCCTCCCGTCCCAATCACTCAAAACAAATCAAATAAAATCAATCTCTCACTCTCTTCTCTCAAACTTAATTTCGTCACCCAAGAAAAAAAAACTAGCCAAATTCTGCGCTTCTCCAAAAATGCAATTCTCCCAACTCGAAGATACGCCGATGTTTCGGCAAGAGGTTCGTCTTCTTCTTCTTATTCTTGTTTATATGGCATTGCGGCTTTTTTGTTAGGCGATGCACTTGTTTTAATAATGCAACTATTTGCCGCCATGCGGAGGTCATTCTTTTAACTGAAAATAAGGTGGCTTTCAATGTGGTTATGCTCCCATCTTTTGTCCATTTCTCTATCAATTTCCTCTTTATTGATCTCAATTTGGATGTAATAAAATCTTGAGTAAACTATGCCATTAGTGAACCAGCTATTAGCCAGTTTCCATATTCATTACCGAACTACAAATAAAACTTTGAATTTATCATTGTTGTTAAGTAATAACAAAATTAATCCGTATGTGTGGATATTTACACATTTTATCATTTTTAATTTTAATTCTATACAAATCAATAAATTTAAGGCTTAACTATAAAATAAGTACCCAAATTATACTACTTTTCTCAAATAGATGCTTAAACCTCTTTTCAATTCATTCAGGTGTCTAACATTATAAACTTTACCACTTTAGGTGTTTGGGCCGTAACCAATATTAAAAAAATCCGTTAAGTGACACGTGTCACATTATACTAATTTTGATTTTAAAAAACATTTTTATTTAAAGAGTCCCAAAATTTTTAAAATTTTTAAAAAAACCTCCAAAACTTTGAAAACCCTAATTTCAATCATATACCCATGTTGGCCGTTGTTGCTATCGACCAAGCCTACCCCCCAAACACGCCTCCACTGAACGATCATTTACCCTCTAACAATCACACGAAAAACCACACCCCAATGATGAAATCAACAGTAAACCTGGCGAAATGAAGAACTTGGTTCAACTCCCGTCGACTCCGGTTCTGGTGGCTCTTCGTCAGAAAAATGGTTTTCGGGTAGAGGCACGATTAGGTGGAGGTTCGGTCGACGGTAAGGGTAGTGATCGACATGGATATAGGGATTAGATTTAGGGTTTTTTCAAAGTTTCTTTTTAAGATTTTAAAATTTTTTGGGTTTTTTAAATATAATTTTAAGTTTTTTTATTATTTTAAATAAAATTTTCAAAATTACTTGAATGTGACATGTGTCCTTTAATGGCAGAATTTAACAACTGTTACGGTCCGGGTACCTAAAGTGGTAACGTTAGGCACTTGGATGAATCGAAAAAAGTTTGGACACCTATTTGAGAAAAAATAGTATATTTTGGGCACTTATTTTCTAATTAAGCATAAATTTAAGCATCCACATTTATAAATTCTAACTTTTTAGTCTTGATTTTAAAAATTCAAAAAATATAAAAATACATAAAAATTCATAAGAATTTTAAAATAAATCTGGAAAATACATAAAAATGTTAAAATTTAAAATAACCATAAGGAATCAAATTGACTTAATCCGTAAACGTGGACGGCTAAGTCTATTAGTTTATCTATAATCAGAAGATAGCATGTGCAAACATTGGGTGCTAAATGTATTATTATACAACTCATCAACGAAAACAGAATAGTTGAACGACTAACTGCGTAGTTCACCCTTAAAACTTTTACGGGTAATTTCAATGGTTTGATCCAACAGTGTTTTACTGGGATTATCGATGAATTTATTTCTATTTTTCGAAACTTTTTCTTGCTCTGCTTTGAGTGGAATCTTTTGCTTCAATTTTTTTTAATTATTACTAATATCAGTAATTTTGCATTGTGTTTAGGCTAGTTTGTGTTAGAAATTAGTAGTAATTGTTGTATTGGTTGATGAAACAGATACAATGCGTGGAAGAGAATGCAGAGCTGATGCGAGGAAGATGCTTAAAGTTTTATAAAGGATGTCGAAAATACACGTAAGTCTACATTTTTTTATTTGTTCCAATCGTTTGCGTACACCCTTTATAAAGAGGAAACATCCTTCATTTACTAGCAGCAATATCTTATGTTTATAGCAGTGTTAATAAGTTGTTAATATCTAGTATTAGTTCCACTTAGTTTGAAAACAAGAATAAGAAACATTGTAACTTATGGATTTAAAAGCAGCTTAGGAGTTTTAATGCATAATTGTAGTACTATTGAATGATCTCACATGGTCTATTCCTTGAAAATGCCAGAGAAGGGCTTGTAGAAGGCTATGCTGGTGACATTGCTTTTGTGAACGCCCTTGAAACGTTTGGAGGGGATCAAAATGATCCTACATGTGTTGCTTTTGGAGGTACACTTTCTGGCTTGTTATAATACCTTGAAAATGCAATAAATTGCTCAACAAATTGGTGGTGTTCTTAATGATGAAATCCAGGTCCAGTCATGAACAAATTCATTGTTGCATTCAGAGAAATTACCTCATACAAGGAAGCTCTTCGCTCACAGGTAATGACTTTTGTGACTTTAGAGATGCCTAGTTAAAACATCATGCATGATCTTTGCATGTTCTGTTGGGCTTTGACTACTGAATATGGTGTGTTTTTTATTTCTTAGGCGGTGTTTGTTTTCACTGTTTAAGGTCTTCAAAGCTTTTATGTCTGCGCCGCGTAGACCATGCGTAGACATTGGGCTTCGCAGACCGTTTGTTTTTTAGAAGACATAAGCTCTTCTAACGTCTGCGCGTCCTCTTCTTGGCGCAGACGTAGACTTATGTCTTCAAAGCTCTTCTAATCTCTTCAAAGAACAATTTTTGCTATTAATTTTTTAAAAATTATAAAATGTCATTAAATTTAATGAATTATTACAAAATAGTCATTAATGTTGTAATAAATTATAAAAGTTCGATAATATAATAATTATTTTATAGTATTTAGGTAAATTTATTAATAATTTTATAATATTTTAATAAATTTAATAAGTATTTTATAATTTTTTATATTTTATTGACGAAAATGATCATTTGTATATAACTCAACGATATCTAATATACTTTATTTGAAAAAAATATATTAAACTTAGTAAAAAAATATTATACAATTAAACTTAATAAACTTTTTTTATGTAAAAACTTAGAAAATCACGGGGACATATAATTATTAGCATTAAAAGATAAAATAAATGTTTTAATAAAAAAATATTCACACTATTGAAAAATCTGATTCTTATCATTTAATTCTAGTAAAGTACGAAAGTCCCTTTATAAAAAATAAATAAATAAAAAACAAATAATATATTTTTTTCTAAATAGAAAAATACTAATTGATGTATGTTATATGGAGTATATATTATATATTTTTTTATGTTACTAGAATCGGATTGTACCTCTCGAAGGAATTAAGATGATTTAAATGATATTATAAAATCGAGTATTGATATATTTGTGAATCGATAATAATTGAGAATTAAATTATTTTTTTTAACAATTACTTAAACTGAAACAAGCAGATTGAATTAAAATTAAGTTGATTTCATTATCGATTGATTTAATAATAATATATTAAAATGATATATATAATATTAAAACCAAAATCTAATAGTCCGGTGATGTAATAATTTATAATAATAAAATTCGTATAATATTTATTTAATATATTTTTTCAAATAAAGTATATTAGATATCGTTGAGTTATATACAAATGATCATTTTCGTCAATAAAATATAAAAAATTATAAAATACTTATTAAATTTATTAAAATATTATAAAATTATTAATAAATTTACCTAAATACTATAAAATAATTATTATATTATCGAACTTTTATAATTTATTACAACATTATAGTGACTATTTTGTAATGATTCATTAAACTTAATGACATTTTATAATTTTTAAAAAATCAATAGAAAAAATGGTTTTTTGAGTATAGTTTAAAAAATCAGTTTATTTATATTTCAGTATATTTTAGCAGTCTGCAGACGTTAAAAACAAACAGTCTTCTTCTTGCAGTCTGCAGACTTTTGGTCTACCTCTTCTGCTGCAGATACCTGCAGATGTGGTCCGCAGACTGTAGATCTTTTACCTCTGTAAAAACAAACACCACCTTAGAGTGGAAAAACTGTGTTTATTAAGACTTGCAGTCGTAGAACAAGTTTCATCTTGAGAAATTTAGTGTATATTGTAAATGGTTACAAACAATAAGGATACTAAAGGTCTTTAGTATGCACCTATTGACCCGCCCTAAGAATTCCCAACCAAGTGGAAGGTGATGGCCTGATTAGGTTCTTCTCCTCCCGAACAAAAGAAATTCCAAATTTATCTAAATGTTCAGACTCAATTTAGGGCCCTCACGATTTTAATCATTTAATAAGTTGGATTTTTCTTGAAAGATATGTTTCCACCTAAATTATCAATAGAATTAGATTGTGGTGCGAGCTTACAAAAATGAACTGGGAGGTTGTTTCTCACATTTTCTCTCACTTCCTCACATGGCACATCATTTTCACTAAATTTGCTAGCACATTCGATTGTTCTAGCAGTATGCCTGAGATTTCTGCTTGTAACCATTAAACATCTAGGTTGTTTCATCTTACTAAGGTAAGTTTATGAGATGTGGCGAGAGATTTTCAGTTAATTTAGTCCCTGCTTCTGACACTTAATTTACTTTTTCAGACAGAGCACATGCTAAATGATAGGTTGCTTCAGTTTGTCAATGTTGATCTGCAAGATATTAAGGTACTCTTTATCATATGATAGATGTTATGGTGGATGTTAACTAGATTCTCTCATATTTTCTGACCCACTGTTAAATCACTGTTTCAGGATGCCCGAAAACCTTTTGACAAGGCTTCACTTGCATATGATCAGGTGAATTTCAAATAAAAAATTTAACACACTTTTTCATCATGATTTTCAGTTCTATGCATACGAATTCATTTAGGATTAAAACAACTAGGCATTGTGAACCTGAGACTTCGTTTTGGTATACTATTTCGTAAAGTTAGTTCTTTATATAGCTGGTACATTCCTAACGGTCGCCATTCTGGCATACAGGCACGGGAGAAGTTTATGTCTTTAAGGAAAAGCACTAAGACTGACGTGGCTGCAGCCATAGAGGAGGTATATACAACATTAACTCTTTCTTGACCCCACAAGTGCATAAACTGTTGAACACTTTGTCACGGTTAACCATTACCTTCAAAATCTAATTTGGTAGAGAGACATTCCAGGAATTACTTACTGCTAAAACCTCATTTGAGCTAGCCCGCTTCAATCTGGTAAGTTAGCTTTTTCCAGTCAAGGCATGTTTGGTTTTATGTTCGTTTCTTTACTTGAAGCTGAAAATCTACATGTTCTGCTACGACCAGGTTAGCGCTCTATTCAAGTTTGAATCCAAAAAGGGGTTTGAATTTTTGGAGGCTGTCAGCGGGATGATGGAAGCTCACCTACGATTCTTCAAACAGGGATACGAACTCTTGAATAGGATGGAACCGTTTATTAACCAGGTTTGACGTTAACTTTCGCTCCTATAAGATGGAAAAAAACATTAATTTGCTATATCTTTAGGTTTCTTTCATCCGGTTTATAACTGCTTTAAAATAAAAATGAAATGGAATGAAGCTGCTGAAACTAGCTACTGACACACTTGTAACTACAAAAAGTAGCTGAGACATACTATTAACTTTTTCTTACATTGCTTTCCTCACAAGTTGAACGTTTGAAAGAATCCAACAAAAAACCCTTTCTACAGTTGAAGGTTAATACTTTGTAGCTTGCACAGAAAGCCAAATATTTCATCAATTCATGGCAAAAATGAGAGGTGCCACACATTAGGGTCTGCAAACCATAGGGTTGAAAAACTTTGTTCAGCTTATGCTTGATAAAACCAAACAATCTTTCTAACCTTGGGAAGCTGAACTATCCCTTTTCGAGAATACAAAACAAACTGTTTAGAACAATAATGCTTGATTATGCTAGTTAAGGATATCACCCACAGTTGCTTTAGGTTCATCTACATCCTTGTAATTAGTAACTTGCAATGGATTCTTACTTAAGTCCAACATGACACTGTTTTTATGAGCTTTGGCGTAGAATCTAGTCACAATTCTAGATGTAAAAGAATTCTTGTTCTGACCTATGATTAATAAGAGAAGCAGATACCTCCTTGACTGAGCCCTTCAAAGAATAACGTTTATAATATAATAATTGTTTCCCTCTTTGTCATCAATATTTCCAACCTTTTAAAGAGGTATCGTAGGTACATCTTTATTGTTCGATTAAAAGCCTCTGTCTGATCATCAGATTGGGGATGGTACGCTGATGAAAAGGCTAGTTTAGAATCAGCCTGACAAAGTAATTCATTCCAAAACAAAGGAAAACCTTGTCACGGTTTGAAACTACAGATTCAGGCAAATCATGAAGTTCAAAATACCTTCGCAAAGAAGACGGTAGCCACATACATAACACTAAACAGATGAGCCAAGGGTAAAAAATAAGTGTATTTCGATACTCTGCCCACAACAACCATAGGTACCATATTTCCATTTAACCTTAGGTAGACCCTCCACAAGGTCCATGGAGATATCAGCCCAAACTTGTTCTGGAATTGGAAGAGGTTGAAGCAATCATGCAAGCTGTAAAATTTGCAATTTATGGCATTGATAAACAAAAAACAAATTCTACAAAAGTTCCGAGCATGCAAGCTACATTCTTTTCCAATAAAAATCTTGATGAAGACGATGCAATGTTTTCAACCCCCTTCATGTGCCGTAGCATGTACGGCTGAAATAACAGTGGAAATAAGTGGAGAGGTAGGTAGAGGGTAAAACCTACTTCAAAGAAAGTCAACCCATTTTGCTCAACCTAATCTGACCCCAATTATTTTGAGTAATTCGTTGTTCTGTTTTTTTGTCGGACTGCATCAAGAATTTCTACTTAAGGGAAGGAAACTGTCATGAAGTGCGACAAATTCTTATCTCTTCTAGATAAAGCATCTACATCTAGCTCTATTCAACTCACTAAATTTATACTCCATATGAAAATCAGATCCAATGCTATTGTAGGGATGTTGTAAGCCTGGTCTAACAGGTACTTGAGGCAGAAGTGATAAATAGAGAGAAAGTGCCTACACCAAAGATAGGGTCTGCAATGAATCACTGCTTTTACCAAACCAATTAATTCTCGCTATGCTGCCAACTCTAGGTATCGGTCTGCAATCTTGTAACTGAAAAAAATCAATGAGGTGTCCCTTTTGTTGTAGTATATCTCCAAACCCACTGCCTGAAGAGTCACATTCAACCACAAATTCCTCCTCAAAGTTAGTAATTTCAAAATTGGAGCTGCTGAAAGAAAAAAATTTAATTGTTTGAAAACGACTTAGATTCCATAGTTTAGCTAAAGGCATTTTTCTTAAAAAGAGATGTTAAGAATGCAGCTACTTGCCCGTAGTTAAAATTTTTCTCTAGTATTCATGCCAACCTGAGAAATGCTCCGTAAAGTCTTGGTAGATTGAGCAGTTGGCCCGTTAGTGATAGCATTAATTTTACTATGACCAACCTCTACTCCATCACCATAGATGACATGCCCAAGATAGGTTATTTGGGACTCGCGAAAGGAACACTTGAATTTCTTTAAGAACAACATGTTATCTCGTAAGAGTTCAAAAAGTAGTCCATGTGCTATAAATTAGTATGTCATTAAATAAGAATATAACAAACTTAGCAAATAAGGGAGGGAAACAGTGGCAAATCCACAGTTGGCAGAAAATGCCACTCATCAAACTTTGACATACAGAAGGAGCATTGGTAAGTCCAAATGACATGATAAGGAACTCAAAGTGCCTACGATGGATTTGAAAAGCTGTCTTTTCCACATCTATAGACGTCATTTTAATTTGGAAATAACTCGACCATAAATCTAGCTTCATAAAATGTTTTGCCCCCATGAAGTTCATCCAATAGATCATTCATTACAGGAATCAGATAATTATCCTTAACAATGCAAACATTAAGCTCACGGTAATCAATACAAAAATGCCATGACTCATCATGCTTCTTTACTACGAGTACTGGAGATGAGAATGGGGATCTAAATGAGTCTTTTTGTAGCATTTGATCACATTGTTTCTCAATTTCATCCTTTTGAAAAATTGGGTATCAATGAAGTCTGACTACAGTTGGTCCTGATCCTGTTAAAGAAGTATGTGATGTCATATTCACAGCTAGCAGACAACTCAGATGGCTCTTGGAACAAATGTGCAAATTCGACCAGTAGTTTATCCAAGACTATAATACTTGATTTCTATCCTTGCATTAGACTAGTTGTGGAACTACCTCTGGAAGTTGCCCACGCTATTTTATCTCCTTCCCGTTTACGGTAAATTTCTTAGTCAAATAGGCAAATAGCTGAAGTCCCATAAAATCGGGCTGAGTACACAACCATTTTACCCTCAAAATCACATCAAACCCCTCTAATGGTATAGAAAAAATCATCTTGAAAGCTATCATTTGCAACCATGAACTGTACTTATTTACAGATGCTTATGCTAGGCACCTGTTCTCCATTTCCCACAAACTTACAGCCTAAGTTTTTTCCATACTTCCAATCCCAATTTTGGCATCACATCTCCAGGTAGGAAGTTGTTCTTACTGCCCGAATCGATGAGTACTAACATTATTACTCCCGACAACTTTGCCATCAGTTGTGTAGTAAATGTATTGCGAGTCCCGCTGCTAATGGCATGTAAAGAAAATTGAAGATCATCCATGTCATCATTATCTTGCTCACCTTCATTATCAGGTACTTCAATCCAAAATAAACTTTTATATTTGTGTCCCTTGGAATAACACTCATCACAAATATAGCCCAATGCCTTTTGTTTACGCTTCAATGCTCGAGTCATATTCATTTCAACTCCAAGGTTTCCCGACTGTTGCATCTCAATATCAATTTTAAGTTCCTTTACCAACCCAGCAGTAAAGAGATTCTAATATAGACATGCACACCAGACACATCAATGAGGCCAATAAAGTTTTGTAATTGCTAGATACCTGCTAAAGTGAGATTGATTTCTAAATTTACTTGGAAAAAACATATGATAAGAGCATGGATAAGATCTATTTCTAATCTACTTTACCGCAAAAAGAAAATGACTCTAGGCCACAGTGGTATTTGATAATGCTTCAAAATTCTTAATCTATTTTTAATGGATACCATTGGGGATGCTGTTGTTATTCTTGTGGATAATCACAAGCTAAATATTTCTGGTCAATCCAAGTAGATGGAAGTGATAAGCCTAAATCGCATTGTGTCCACGCCAGTGCTTCCATCCAACCACTGTTTTTGCAAAAATTTTCTCCACTAGTAAAGAGAAAAACTTTGCCTCTACAGCACCAGTGTTTCTTTTCCCTCCATTTCTAGATCAGAGTATGGTTCCTTTCTTGATATATGGCGTCCTCTCCTGTCCTAAGAGTTCCCGTAAGCAAGCAACTCCCTGGGAAACTTGGAATAATTTTCTTTCTCAAGTAAATACGACTTTTTAAGTTTTCTGCCAATAAAGATTTTGTCAGAAACTTATTTCTTCTATATTTGAACTTCCATATCTCTTAATCAAGAGAATTTTAGAAACTAGTGTCTATGGGTTACAGGTCTTAGATTACGCACAGAAGTCTAGGGAATGTTCGAACTATGAGCAGGAATCTCTAAGTGAAAGGATGCAGGAACATATCAGACAGATTGAACAGGGTAAGCTGTCCTTAACTGGCTACACCAGTCCTTCTGTTGCCGATGGCATGCAACCTTACACAAGGGGATCCCAAAAAATTATTGAGGCAGTTATGCAATCTGCCGCAAACGGAAAGGTGATATCTCAACTAGAGATTCTTAATCTTGTTTGAATTTCTTAATGAATTTGTTTACGTTTCCATTTCCATTTCGATACCTCTTTTACATAGGTCCAAACCATACGACAAGGTTATCTTTCAAAACGTTCCTCAAACCTGAGAGGTGATTGGAAGAGAAGGTTTTTTGTTCTGGACAGTCGAGGGATGTTGTACTACTATCGTAAACCATTTGCATGGTCTTCTGTAAGTCAAATGAAAATCACCATTAATAATATGGGCTGTAACTGTTCCTCTTTCTCTTTTCTCCACACTAAATGTTACTTATTCAGGCAGGTGGAAGTCAGTCTACTACACAAAAGAGCAGTTCTGAAAATGGTCAAGGGCTGCTGAGTCGATGGCTTTCCAATCATTACCATAGTGGTGCAAATGATGAAAAGTCTGTTACACGTCACACAGTAAACTTGTTGACATCAACAATCAAGGTTGACGCGGATCAGTCTGATTTGATGTTCTGTTTCAGAATTATCTCACCAACAAAAATCTATACATTGCAGGTAAGTGTTCAATATTTCAATTTTATCATTTCTGAAACTTTTTTCCCTTATTGGTAGTGTTTTGTGGTTATTGTGGAAATGATTCAATTAGCAGCAAACCATTGAAAATAATAGGTTGGCAATGCAGGCAGAAAATGCACTAGACCAGAGGGATTGGATTGAAAAAATAACTGGAGTGATTACTTCATTATTGAGTTCCCAAACACCTGAATCGGTAATTGATCAAATTTCCTTTTTCCTCAACCAAAAAAACAAAAGGAGATGTGTTTTTTTTAAAAAAAATTTGAAAATAATTTTCTTGACCTTACAACATTGGTTTCTTTTTCCTCACTACATATCCCTTGGGTTTCTTTTTCCATGCAAATGACCTTAATACATTTATGTCAGTCTCTCTCTGCTTTCCCCATGAGAAGTGGTGGTGGTGATAATAACTTGACTAGTGACAGTTCATTAGTGGAGTGCCCTGATGGATTTCAGACAACAACAAGACAATATATGCCTAAGATTCCCTCCACTGGAAGTCTTTCAGATATTCCTAAAAGTTTGCAGCATCAAGAAAATTACGAAAAGAATGAAAAGCCAATTGATATCCTAAGAAAAGTACCCGGGAATGATAAATGTGCCGATTGTGGTGAACCTGAGCCAGACTGGGCATCTTTAAACCTTGGTTTACTCATATGCATCGAATGTTCTGGAGTTCATCGCAATCTTGGCGTACATATATCAAAGGTATATCATATAAATGTGCTCTGGGAACCTAATGTCTTTCTAAGAAATGACAGTGGCCTTTCTTTAATATTTCTTGAAGAAAAAAAGCTCATGTGTCTCTCTTTTACTTTTGTTTTCTTTGATTGCCTATTCATGCAGCTTTTCTATAACCTCTTACTCAGGTAAGATCACTGAAACTTGATGTTAAAGTGTGGGAACCTTCTGTGTTGGCTTTGTTTCAATCACTGGGAAATTTCTATGTGAATTCAATCTGGGAGGAGTTGAACTCCGGACATACAAAAACTGTCTTACCTGTGGGGTAAGTAAAACTATTCGATTCGATGGGGAAACTCTTCCTATAATGATACGTTTTTACTTGGTGTAGTTCTTCCAAGTCTGAAGGACAAAAACAGCTTCCCAAAACGAAACCTTCTCACGATGACCCAATTTCAGCGAAGGAGTTGTTTATTCATGCAAAGGTATTGCCTGGTTACCTAGGTTTTTTTCCTGTTCTGGAATAAGACTGCATCAATGATGTCTGGTTAACTGGTTTTAACATTGCAGTTGTTAATTCATAGTTAGAGTTTTTGGCATGTTGCTAGATATTTGCAACATTTATGCCATAACTTGGTAGCATATGTTGCTTCAGTAATCTTTTTCTTTAGGATGTGGAGTTGATGGTTTCCGATGATTTCAGTATGCAGAGAAAGCTTTTGTTTGTAAGTTAACAGACAATCCGTGTCTCCTTTCGGTAGCAGAAGAGGTGTGGGAAAGTGTTCGTTCTAATGACCCGAAGGCTCTATACCGCCACATTGTTTGCAATGGAGCAGATGTTAATACCATTTATGGTCATCAATCATATTGTACATACTCCCCCTCTGTCCACAAACTCCAGATTAATGTAATGGGAAAAACCAAAGAAATCCTTCAATTACAACTTTGATTGCTTTGCAGGTGACTCACGCGACCAATCAAGATCCTCAAACCTGTTAAATGAAAGAGGAGATCAGATCGAAAAGGAACATTTTGACGGTTGTTCACTGCTACATCTTGCCTGTTTAAACACGGATATCGGCATGGTGGAGCTACTGCTTCAGTATGGAGCAAATGTAAATGCATCTGACTCAAGAGGCCGCGTGCCCCTCCATCTTTGCCTCGTTGGCAGAAAATTTGCGATAGCGAAATTGCTTATGTCAAGGTGATCTTGCTTTTTTTTTTCTTTTTAATTTCAAACATTTAGGGTATCCTACTCTATGTTATACAAACATACACAGATGATATATTAGTAGTTTTGTTTACACGGGTTATTTTCCCCAACTGGTTCCAAAATTGCAGGGGAGCAGACCCACAGGCTGTGGATGGAGAAGGTAAAACTCCTCTTCAGCTTGCATTGGCATCAGGTATCAATGATAATGAGGTTTTGGCACTCTTTAACAGATCGTAGTATAATAGTTCAGAATCCCAAAAATGAACGTTAGACACCGCGAATGGTAGTTCAGAATCCCAAAAATGAACGTTAGACACCGCGAATGGAAGAAATGGAGGATGGCCTTTCATCTTTCGCTCTGAAAAAACAAGGCTATTCGTATACAAAGTCAAAAGGTGAAACTGCATCATAATGCACAGGTTTCTTCAAGTCATCTTGGTAGTTCCTTTGGGTGCTATATCATGGTAGCTATATATATATATATATATAATTGTAGTATGTAAATTTTACTCGAGGATTGGGTAGCTTAAGCTAAATTGCAAGAGAAAAATGTGACATTAAAACACATGCTCATGCACTTTTGAGCTAGTTATAAGAGGGATTTTTTTTCTCTTCTAAATTGCCAGGTGTAATCATCGTCCACTTTGTTAGGAAGCATCCAACATGACAAGTATCTAGTTTTTTTCTCTAATAATCATGCTTACACCTGGCAAGGAACTCCGCATGTTGCTTGCTTGGGGGAATCGACATCATACTCTTTATCGATTATGCTATTTAGAGTGGTAGAATTTGGAACCCATCCAAACTGAATCAAGCTCTCCACAATCCTTTCAGCTATCTCCGGACTTCTTTTATTGTGAAAACCACAAATGAGCTTGTGACATGTGATTGGATTGAGCTTAAGTCCTTGCTCTGCCATTTCTTCGAGTAACTTTGGAACTTCCAAAAAGTTCTTTGTTTTGCATATCGTATCCAGCAGAAGGAAAGACGGGCTTTTATTGAATGCAACATCCTTCACTAGTATTTCATCCAACAGCTTCAACATTCTGATCAAATTATTTTCTTCCACGTAAGCCTCTGCAACAATACCATAGATTATTTCATCAGGCTCAACACCATTTGTAGCCATTGCCTCGAAAAGAGCAAACATCTCGGCTCGCCTCTCTAATCTGTTGTAACCATGCAAAAGCGAGTTGTAAGTTACAACACTCGGACTAAATTCAGCCTTTGCATCTCCAAAAAGAGATTTTCAGCTTCTTCCATCTCTCCTTCCTTGCAGTGATGATCAATCAGGATGCTATAGGTTACATGGTTCGGTGCAATAGACTTATCAACCATGACATCTAACAGCCTCTTAGCTTCATTTGGTTTCCCCAACTTGCATAATCCATCAATCAATGAATTGAAAGAAAAGATGGAAGCAAGGCCCTTATGCATCATTTCGGAAAATATAGAGACTGCCTTGTCCATTTCTCCTTCCTTACAGCATCCGTTGATAAGGGCTGAATAAGTAAAACTATCTGATGGAACACCCTTTGTGTGCATTTTATCCAGTAACAGAAATGCCTGAGTTAAATATCCAGATTTGCAATATCCGTCTATAATCATAGAATAACTCTTAGTATTAGGTGCTAAGCCTTTCTGCGAGATTTCATTAAACATCTCCCTAGCTTTCTTGGTGTCACCTACCTTACACAGAGCATCAATCATCGTATTATATGTAACAATGTTCGGAGCAATACCTTTTTGACACATCTTATTATAAAGATTGAGAGCTCCCTCCATATCACCAAGCTTAGAGAAGACAGAAATGAGAGAAGTATAGGTGTATACGTCAGGCACTATACCCTTTTCATCGAGTTGAGAGAAAAGATGCAGTGCATCATTAATTCTACCATTTGTCGCAAGGCCATGGATGAGCACTGTGTAAGTCTTTATATCCGGGAGCACACCTTTTTCAGACATGCACCTATATGTCAACAGAGCCTCAGTTACATTTCCTACCTTGAAAAGGCTGTTAATCAATGCAGAATACATAGCATTATTTGGAGCTATACCATAACTTTGCATCTCTCTGAAACACCTTTCTACGGCCTCCATTTCCCCGGCCTTAGCATATATGTGGATGAAAGACCCATAGGTATGTTCATTAGGCTTCAAGCCCCTGTCAACCATTTCATCTAAGATGCTCTTCGCTTCATTGATCCTTTGGGCCTTACATAAACCATTTATAAGAGTATTGCAACAAAAGATATCAGGTATTACCCCATTCTCCATCATTCTGTCAAGGATCCTTCTTGCTTCCTCGAATCTACTTTTCTGGATATGACCTCTCATCAGATTTGTATACAAAATGACATTGGGCTTCAACCCTTTGCTGATCATTTCCTCAAAAACATTATTAGCTCGACCAAGATCTCCACGGTGGCACAGGCCGCTAATTACCACGTTGTAAGTGTATACCGTGGGTTTCAAGTTGTGCTTCTTCATCTCTTCAAGCAGTTCATGGACCTTGGCAAAATTCCCTTGTCGACAATAACTCTCGATCATGAAATTAAATGTTTGTGTATCAGGTCTGACGCCAATTGATACCATCTCATTGATAAGTGCTTTACTCTTCTCCAAGTCACCAGCCTTACAAACACCACTAATAAGCGAATTATAAGTGAAAACATTCAATTTAATTCCACAAGCAACCATCTCATCCTTGACTCGGAAAGCCTCAACCATACTACCCTGTTTTATGAATCCATTTATCAGAGCCGTGTAAGCAATATGGGTAGGATTTAAACCTGCACGATGCATTTCTTCCATCGTCAGTTTCGCTTCCAGTAATCTATTCTCCCTACAAAACCCATCGATAACTATATTGTAAGTATAAGCATCTGGGTTGATACTCTTTTCAGCCATCGAGTTTTTGAACTTCAATGCTTCATCTACAGAACCGGCTCTGCACAATCCGCCAATCATAACATTATAAGTAATCAAACCAGGACTACATCCCTTCTCCTCCATCTCCATAAGCACCCTTTTCGCTTTCTCGGTACTCCCAACTCGACAATGAGCATTGATCACATTGGTATAAGTATAAACATCAGGCACCAATTTAGCATCGACCATCCCATTGAAAACCTTCCAAAACAAATCCAGCTTATTTAACTTAAGCAAATCGCCTAAAAAGTTATTACAGCAAACCAAACCAGGCAAAACCCCAACTTCTTTAGCACCCAAAAAAACATAAACAGCATCATCCCAAGAACCCATTTTCTTATAACAATCAATCAGAATCTCCAAAATGTGGACATCATTCCCTTCATAATCCTTATAACACCTAATAATTGAACCCAATACGGCCTGAACCGGCGTCCTAGTCCTAACCATATTGTTCAAAACCTGATTGGCATCACGAAACAGCTTTGAATTGCATAAAGTAAGAGCAAGGAACGGAAAAGAATCCAATTTTTGAGGTTTTGGGGATTTGTGACTTGCCCAGTTGAAGAACCAGAGGAGACGCTTGGGATCAAGAACCGAGTTTTGGAGAAGAATGGAGTGAATAATTTCTGGGTTAAGCTTGCTTTTCAAATCCGATGATGTCTCAAGAAGGCCTTTCCAGTCATCCTTAGTGAGGATAGATGCGATTTGCAAGGCTTCGGCATCGTTTCGAGCAGCTGTACAAAGGGAAGCTGATTCGAGACGAGAGAGTCTCGTTTTTTTGAAACAATAGAGCCTTCGCTTTGATGATAAACGCATAGTTTTGAAGGAAAGTGCCCCCTTCTACTCTGCACAAACGAAAACCAAAAAGCAGCAGCGAGGAAGAAAGGAAAACGTATGGAGAACACAATGTGGTGGGCATTAGCCATTTTGGGCTCAAATAATGTAAACGCCAATGGATCCAACAAACCTCAAATTTTGATCCTTTTAGTTCCATGTTTATTTTATATTTTATGTAAAAATAATAATACAGGAATATAAAAAAATAAAATTTAATTAGGCATAAAATAATAAAAAAATTATTTGAACATGAAATCAAATTTTCATCTAAATAAAAATAAAAATTTTAAAATCATACTTATTTATTTTTATTCGTAAACTTAATTATTTAAAAATAAATTTCTATACAATAAACAAAACATAGTATCATAATAGTACCTCATCATGGATTAAAATGATTCTCTATCTCCTTCGATGTTATTGTCATATTGACTTGATACATCTTCTTAAACATTATATGTATATAAGATTTTATCAATATCATTTCATTTATTATATATAACTTTGGAGTCAATTCATTACCTCTATCGTATTGATCTAAAGTGATATATTTATTAATATTTATTTAATAGTTGAAATGTTTTACTTAGAATAAATAGTTAGTAGGTATATTCAATTTGCTCAAAATTTGATATGTATAATCTACGTAAATATTATATGATATTTAACAGCTAAATTATCAAAATATTAATCGTAAAAAATTTATAAATGTGTATAAAACTTATTTAATTCTACACTAGTTTGAATTAGTCCTACCACTACTACTATTATTATTATTATTTAAAGAATTTTTAAATGTGAAATTTGTAATAAAAAAATTGACATGATATTTAATCTATATTCAATATGATATTTAACGGTTCAATTGTCAAAATATTAATAATAAAAAAGTTTATAGAGGTGAATAAAATTAACTTAGATTTAAGAATAATAAAAAGTCAACTCTATGCTCCCAACGCAAGGTAACCTTAGCGTGTCGTTAGGGTCAAACAACTATGATTATCATGGTGGCCGATCACTAGAAACTGTCCCCTTTATTTCATCCACTATTGCGAAGGAAAGATCGGCGTCTCCATCGTAGTTGGATGAGCAACGGCCGTCAAAAAAGGGTTAACGTGTGACCGAAGGAGATGAGCAGGTGGAGTATTCTGCGATGGATGTTGATGTTGAGAACGAGGCAAATGCTATGGAAAATTCTATCAATGGGGTGAAGCACCTTCATGAGAATGGTAAAGCATCCTATGCTACCATTGTTTCATCAGGCAAGCAGCAAAGTAATGGGAAAAGTGGGGTGAATGGCTTCGTTGAAGATGAAATGATTATTATGGAGGAGGATATCATTATGGATCGAACAAGTGTTATCCTATCAATACAGTTTTCTGACCGAGTTCATGATCAAATAGATAAAATCATGCACAATTTTGTTCGTCTTCTAGGTCGCACAATTTTCTTGATAACAATTACTTTCTTGTTCGCTTCATAGATGAAAAGGATTTTCACAAAGC